CAGATATGAATATCAGTTACTTGAAAAATCATTTAAAAATCTTTAATAAAGGACTTGCAACAATATAGAGGAAAGAGTAAATGTGGTGTTATGTGAGAAAATCATATCAATAAGCCAGGGGCAAGAAAACTTGATATTCTTTCAATATCCACAAACAAAGATATGCTCAAAAATTACCACTAAAATAGTAACTATAATTTTACAGACCATTTCATTAATGTTTATGCCTATTAAAAATATCCTTCTATAAAGATCCAATGATTAAATTATGGAGAAAGAAATAAATTTAAGTTTGAATGATCAAACTTCACCTCTCTACAACTGGACAAAGATTTAATACTTTAAAGGAACAGAGGACATTTATATATTGATTAAATAGTACCAACTGATTAAAAAGAAATACGCTAAGTACCTTTACCATTGTAATGCATCACTAGATTGGTACCAGGATATAATGTAGCTTTAGATATTAGAAGACATTTAGCTGTTTAATTAAAAGAGTGGAGATCAGGGCAGAATACAAACCAGTTCTGAAGATCCAACCTACTTGTAATTATCGTCTTCCACAAATTTTTGTAGTTCTTCTATATACTGAACAGAGTTCAGATATTTTTGGACGTGAGGCAACATGGGAATATCTAGGCAAAAGGTGATAAATAATTATCCAATAAAGTATACCTCAAACAACTGAAAAGTTAAATTGTGAAAAATAATTGAAGGACAACTAAGGCCACATGGCATGAAAATTTAAATTAACTTAGGAGAACATTACTGAGATGAAGTTTAAAGTAAAGCTGAAGGAAACTGAAAAAATTAGAGTTGCATGCAGCTTGCACAGCTAATGAAAACAACCATGAGCTCACATTTGAGAAACTTCACAGAAAATCAAGAGACTTCATTTTGATTTATAGTTAATCCTCAGCTCAACATAAGAAATGAGGACAGTTGTTTCCTTTTAAAGGAATTTGTCTTTCATTTATAAATGTGTCCCTCTACCCAATTACGAATTTTAAATAAGAACAGATTAGCATTACTATTTGGTGTTGTGTTTAAAAACTTGAGAAAAAAAACAGATAACAGATTTAACTTGCAATACAATCTTTTCACACACCCTTTCAGGAAGGCTGTTTAAGAGCAGAGCTGCATAGATGAAAAGTTAGTTTTAAGACACACTTGGGGCTGGGGAGATGGCTTGGTAGAATAAGCACATGCCTGGCAAGTGCAAGGGCCTGAGTTCAAACCTCGGTTCCGCCAAAAAAAAAAAAAGAAAAAAAGAAAAAAAAGACACACTTAGATGAAATAAATTACATGATTTAAACATGTATTTTTTCCTAATCATAAAAGTTAGTTTATGGAGAGTTAGAACTACCTTAATGGCTTCACTGGCCAAGTCTGTCCTTATTGCCTATCAAGATGAAAACAATCCAAACAGTTAAAAACCTCACTTTTCTAATCATCTGGGCTTACTAACCAGTTTTTCAATGGACTACGTCATTACATAAAATATACCGTGGACAAAAACTAGTTTGCTCAGTGTTGGACTCAAGAAAGTTAGTCAGCTGTTAATTGGAGAGCAACTGTCCCAACTACTTTCCTCATTGAAGAATATAAGAACTACTTACAAAATGGTGATTAAATTAGATGAATAGAAAATAATTTCAAAAACTTCATAAAGGTTAAAAATTGTGAAGTGGTAATATTAAATACATATCTTTGTATTCTGTAATCAAAGCTACTATAAAATAACAGAAAAGAGATACAAATTTAAATTTCTAAAAAAAAGAAAAAATGTCTTAGAAATGATGCTAAGCTAAGAGGGTGACTGATGGAGTTCAAAAGTACAAGGCCAGCCTGGGCAACACAAGCACACCCAGTCTTATCAAAACAAAACACACAGCTAAACAGTAAATGCTGAAATGAAAGACAAAAATTCTCCTTTGTTATGATGGAATAAGAAAGTGATGTTCAATGCCGTGGAAAAGGGTCACTGGTATGTGTCAGTGAATCACAGCATGTTAACAGCGCAACATCATCCCCTGGAAACTTACCATATTCACAAGACTGCTGTAAATCAGAAATTATTCGTAGGATGTTGTTCATTAAGTTTGTTCTTTGCTCATTTTCTAGAATGCTGCCAGTTGATGGATATGCTGAATCAATGTATGTTAAATCTGACAAGTAGATACCTGAAAGAAAAAGAATGTTTTCTTATTGTTTGGAAGAACATGACAAAGTGAAGGAGAAAATGTTTACATATAGATATATTCCAGTGTCTGCCATATTTAGAATATATTTCCATTAATACATTAGTAACTGGGCTGGAGAGATGGCTCAATGGTCTAAAGCACCTACTTGGAACAAGCTTGGCAAAGCACAGGGACCGCAGTTCAATCCCCCAGCACCACATGCCAGCCAGCCCCGCCCCCAGGT